GTAGCCACTTTATTTGTGTCTTCAAAGTAAATATGTCAGCGGAAGAAAGAATACTTTAAGTACAAACATGAACTGGACGAGTGAACACCACCGTAGATATTTAACGACAAAGAAAACAACCAAGCATTAAACCTAACTGAACGATCGAGCTCTGACTACTGCGACCTATGCTTACCTTTCAGCACTCAGGGTAACGATAAAGAGGAGTAAAAACGAGTCACTGACGCTTCATCTGATCACAAGTCCAACTGCAGAGTCATAGAGCGAAGATAACAACGGATGTACAACATCGTCGGACACTCAAGCAACAGTGTATCGACGCGCGGCATTTCGACCACATGGTGACGAGCATGATGTCCTCGATCGGTAGAAAGCGAAGGCGTACCGTGAAGCGCGGACGGCTGAATGAACAATTTAACTGCGCTTTCTCCCCCTATCCAAAAAATGCAGAGTATGTCAGTGTTAAACTATGTCATAGCCAGCGGTGACAGCTGCTTGGTGCAGTGTTTCTAATAGTGACTATGCCCGAACGATTACGCTAAGGAAGATGATTACCATTACTGTATCTTATTACCGATTTTTTGTATGGTACAGAAACGGTTAATGTTCTTATTCCCACTGAAGTCTGGATTCTCTATTGCGTTCTTAGTGGCCAAGTGATCGCTACGGTAGGCACAGACACGACAGTGGTGAGTGATATACCACAATCATTGCATCTCGCTACATTCACAGAAAGGGAATTCTTCCCTCTTCCACTTCGAAAGAAGTATATGCAATTACCATAACTTATACGAACACTGTCTAGTGTGATCCATTGTCGACAATTTATAAGTGGAACAGAGAGGTGAAGCTTCACAAGAGATTTAACAACTTAAGTATCTCGGCTCTATCATCGATAACGATGGCACCATCTGTCAGAGTCAAATAGGCGGATCGCCCTAGTCTCGAATGAATTTTATAAACATGTACAATATCTGAGCTGAGAAAGGAGTATCTTTCCACCAAAATCTGCCTGCATCCTGCTTCTGTCAAATCAGCGCTGCTGTACGCCATGCAAACAGTTGCAATAATGAAAGAGTATGGCGGCTGTAGAGCAACGTTGGCTTGGACGAAGAGAGAGAAAAGAGAGCTAAACGACAAAAAAAGGTTAAATATTCTATTCTTTCCTGGGCAGAAGTGACCTCAGTAGATTGGAAATAGAGAATAGGTGGGCCCTGTTAGACAAACCGAGTAAACAGAAACCACTTACTCCATTGAAGCCAAAAACATAAGCGTCGACTAGGAAACTAGCATGCAACAAGGGAAGAACAGGGAGAAGCGGATCTGCTTTTGGAGAATATTTCCTTCTACGATGCAGTAACAAGCTTCCTATAGAAAAGTGTTGAAACGCTGCGAATACAGGGGATATCACAAACGAGAGATCATCTGCTTATGCAACGACTGTGATGACCGCAACAAACTCTCATCAGAGTAAGCAGAAGCACGGGAAATTCTTGGACTTTCGACAAAGATTCTATTTAGAACATCACATCTGGCCGATGATTCAGTCCAGTGGATACTTATTCCCTTCCGTGGGTGCCCACCAAACAAGCATGGATAAAGAATGATATCCTGGATTTCGGTGGACAGGTGACGCCAGACTGGAAGATTGATTTTCTGGCGAACTGGCTAGTCTGAATACCGTTATCCAGTTTCGCCTCTTTGTGGGAAAGCCAATAACGCGAGTCGACGCTCCTTTAATATTCTCTATTTTCCGCTTTCTGCCTCCACCGTTGGCCAAGAAATTTGACCATCGGATCATCCAAGTGTGTTAGTGGACGATCGACTCGACGCTGGTGGTCCATTGAAACTCAGTTTGCAACTCCTCACGTCAAACGGTTGCCTCTCAGGAGAGGCACGCGACCGCTTTTCTCCTGGCGTCGAAGAAGGCAAAAATTACGTTTGTTAATCCAGTCAGTTGCTAAATTTGTGCACTCTGGATCCCGGAGGGAGACCCTGTACATTTTTAGCTACATCACTCTTGATGTCACCATCACTTTATTTTCCTTTTCTTCAGTAACAGATAAACATTCAGCATCGCACATCATGGTGGGTAACACAGCTGAATCAAACAGTTCTTTCCTCGCTCGCAAGTGCAGTTTATTGTCGAATACTGATGTTCTAATACGATTACAGCTGATCCATGCTTCCTTCCTTCTTCTGCTTCTGCTGATCCACCTGATGGCCAAAGTACGCATAGCAGGTGACTTCTTTGAGTTCGCAGCCAT